CAGAGGAAGAGGGGGTTCCAAACTGAGATGGAAATACCAGGTGGGAGACGGACTTGGCCGCAGTTGGCACAGAAAAGAAACGACTGGCGTGCTTTGTTGAACTCGGCCAAAATCGCTTAAGCGATTACAGAGCCAAATAAGAAGCAGAAGACATAGTTTTACTCTGAATAAAACATTATTTTCAAAGAAGTGTATAAAAGAGAATATTTTCTTTCGAAATTTTTACAAAAAATGGGGTAGAATTGGAAAGAATAATACAATTTTTTGTAAATTTAAAATTTATTCTAAAAACTTTCCACATATCGATGTTCCTCTGCAATAACGGGATACACGAAAATTTCACGTTTTTTAGTTTTATAGCGGGCTAATCATATTTTTCTGTGGCAAATCGACAATATGCCATTTGTCGCAAAACCGAAGTGGCCAACCCTTACTACTGAACAGTGGCACATGTCGTACATTTATCATGATAGGTTAGTGATGCTTCAATGTGAAATAACAACACTTTTCCTATTGTGTCGTTGTTCAGTACATAGTTTAAGTAAGAGAATTAGTAATTTTTTATGGGAAATAACGGCACTTTTCGTTTCGTGCCGTTGTTAAGCAATACAAATGGAGTTTTCTTCGTTTAACTACTTAGGAGTTGTTACTTATTTCGTATTTTTACAGTCCAACACTTACTTAATCTTTAGAAAAAGTCGGAAGCTTACAAATTTTTCCAACAGAATGACTGCAAATAATACGGAATAAATACGTTCCAAAACATATTATTGCTAAATTACGAAACAAAAAATCTGAAAAATATGAATATTTAAGTTGTGTCGTAATTGCAGAGGACCATCGATATTTGCAATATGCTCACAAAATTTATTATTTCTTTAAATAGTACAAATATTCTTCTTTCCAAAGCCCTACAAAAACTTAGAATTAGGTTAAAAAATAACCTAGATAAAAATTTGTTGGTGTGCCGACCTGCCGATTCAACAGTTCATGATGGTCAACAATTGTGTATACCGCTAGGCTTTCTACAGATTTGTAGTTATTTCTTTAACAATCTCTTAACACAAGTTCAGAATCTAGAAACTCAAGCCATCCACATTACTTTTCGTATAACTCATAAACTTGCTATTAAAATTTATTTCAAGTGAATGAAGTTCCGCTGAAAGGATTCATATGAGCGGCGTTAATTTACCACGGAGTATGGCACCTTTTTCTTATTAATCAATTACTAAATTTTATTGCTTGGTATGGTATACAAGAAATCCTCCTTTTCGACAGAAAATCCCATTCGCCCTTTTTAGTCATAAAATCCCGAAAAAAGGGCGAAATCCCACAAACTGACAACACTCGGTAGTGCCCACCTCTGATCTAACGCATAGATAGGCGATTTTTGCTCGCGAGCAACGCCAGCGTCGCAGTTCGTATACGTACACAGAAGCACAGCAGCGAATTTCGATTCAGTCAAGTGGTGGTAATAGTCGCGACTATCGATAGTGGGCGATATTGTTTTTTTTTTAAACTGTCGATAGCCTATCGATAGTCGCCTATTTCTAAAAAGATAAAAACCTAGTTGGGGCCTATTCATAGTAAGTAAGTTTTTTCGTTTACTATTACATATTAAAGCTGCTTTACTGCACATTCGTTCTGATTCTACTGATGATGAGTTAGGCCAACATAGCTGCCATATATTGTTTTATATAAAAGTATTGCTGCTTTATACAATGCACATTCACCATTTTTGTGTCTAAAATTTGGAAAGTTTTCAATAGTGAAAATACTCGATAGTTTTTCAAAACTATCGATAGTAGAAAAAAACCAGTCCCATCGATAGTATCGATAGTGCCATTGATAGTTTGACACCACTAATTCAATCTGCTTTCAGATTTCACCAAGGCAACGTCACGCTCGGCTGTGGCTTGTTTTTCTTCGTAATTTTAGCACACGCTTGCCATATTTTGTGTAGGAAAATTGCAAAAAATCCCCAATGCAAAGATTTTCTTACATTGTTCTTTGCATGCGTTTGTGACGATTCAAACACAAAATGGTGCGACTCTATATAAGAACTACAGTTTATAGTTCAAAGAACTTTCAACAAGCCCCAATGTCCATAATGCTGTTATTCCTATATATTTTTAATATAAGCAAGCTGTATATTCCGTGAATTTAAAAACATATACAATTGTCTGCTTGCTGACCAACGTTCACTAATTTAATAATAAGTCCCATGACATTCACAAATTGCATACTTTATTTTAGAAAAAAATGTCTAAAGAAATCGATAGAGAAAAATACGTAATGAATAATATTTGTAAGTTATACTCTATTTTCAGGACTAAATACCTATTTATATGAAAATAATAACATCTAGACACCGTAACCATCTGGCCGGCCGGCATTCAAAAGATTTGATTCTAACAAAACGGTGCCCAGGTGTTAAACAAATGAGTTTTACCAATTAAATTTTTTGAAATTTTACAAGTACTAAATTTTTCATATGTAAAAGTTTCCATAAACTAATAGTATTAGTTACTAAAAACTTCCAAGATTCATTATTTCACTATACGTATATAAAGATTTTGGCCTATCTGGCCTGACCCATGCACGAAAAATACCACTTTTAGTACATTTATAAAAATGTGGCAACCATAACTGAGCGCGACGCACTAATACCACGACAAAATGAGACTGTGTCGGTGTGCCCAGCACGGTTGCCACACAACAAAAAATTTGCTGACCAGAATTTACAAAAAAAGTTACCTAAAAGTTACCAAGTAAAAAACAACGATTTATTATACAATAAACTGTAAAAACAAACCTCGTTTATTTGCCATAAATAAGAAATGGGTGCAATAAAGTTTTATTAAAAGAAAAGTAAACAAATTAATTTTACATATGAGGCCATGAGGGCCAGAGGAGCCTATCTATAGACAAATTTTCAGTTATATGAGAAAGAAGGATCTATAAAAAATAAATTCGGTCCTTTACTAAAAAATTCATTGCACCTACGTGATGCTACATATAATAAAACCAAAAGGGCGGGCCTCGGGCTATTACCGTTTCGATTCTGGTAATGCTTTTTAAGGTGCACCTCAACTTTTTTTGAAATGTCAGTTAAGCTACTCTGGCGCTCAAGGCCTCATATATTAGATACATTTACATACGTATATAAATACATACATTTTTATCGAATCTCTGTATACGTACGTGGAAAGAAAAAGAGAATATAACAAAAAATTTTGAAACAAAAAACAACACATAAATATTTTTGCAACGCACGATTTTAAAAATATGCTTAAAGCTCTTGTCTCTTGAACGGGATCTTAGCCTCAGAACAAAAAAAAATATTTAAAAAATCGACTTAAGTGCATATACCGAAGCGCTATAGAACCCAAATACACCGCACAAACTGCTCTTCGAACCTCCTTTTTTCATTTCCTCTATATATGGATCAAAGATCTGTCAATAAGTATTGAACGTGTGGCATATTTCGTGATATCAATTCACGGCTCGGCATTTCGCGTTGCATTTCGAACAAAGTAGACGTGGTATCATCACACATATAATAGGGGTCTTCCTTTAAACTCGTAAAAGTCTCGTAAACCTCGTAAATTTAAGAGCTTCGTAAAAGAACTGTCAAAATTTGTATGGAGCTCTATTTAAGAGTCCCTCGTAAATTTACGAGGCAAATTTGATGCGCAAACGACCACGTAAACTTCATTGTTGCCGAGGGATCGAAACTTTTATACAAAAATGTATGATAAAATAATGAAAATAAATGAAAAAAATAATACGCGAATAAAATGAATGGATTTCATCCACTAACTGTTTCGACATAGGTTTTCTCCTAATTTTCGGCATTTCTAACTGTATTTTATTTAAGAGTGATAGAGATAAGATGGCGGGATGTTATGGAAAATACTACGAAACAAAAATTGCTTCACAAAATCCTGGTTGATCTGTCAAACAGCCACTTTACGCACCTATTTACTCCTTTTCAAAAAGGGGGTGTTCCCATAAAAGCCTCGTAAACTTACGAGTTTTACCCGGTTTAAGACTTTACGAGTTTAACGGAATCCCCTAAATAAAAAGTATAGATACGATTTCCAGGCTTCATCTATTGGACTTTAAACCTCTCAACTCAAAAACATGTAAATACTGACGCGATAAATATTGAACATGTGGCATTCCCGCGCGATCCATCACTATTTTTAAATCCATCAATATGGATCCCGATCCAAATATCACAATAAATATTGAACGTAAGACGGGCACCCCACACTGTGATAAATTAACGAGTAGACTGCCCAGCGACAACTTTCTTCGATATGTGGTTAATTATTTTTTCTGAGTGCTGTGTTGCTTGTTTAATGCAATTATTTCTAGTATTGTTGTCATCGCGACGCACAACCACAGTGCAATATACCAAATTAATCCAACTTTTTTAGTCTGACTTTATACATACACGGCAAACTTACCATAAGTGACCAAAGAAAAAAAATGTTGCCAAGTTACCAAGGACTCAAAAAGATACCTATTTTGGTCACAAGTGACCAAATGTGGCAACCGTGTGCCCCGCCATTGAGCTAATGTATCGCCTTGATGAAAAGGAATACAGCAGAAGCCCTCACCGCCAATATTACGCAATGTTAAATGTAATGCATATTTAAATAGAAAAATAATCGAGCGCAATAATTGCAATATATTTATTATAACTAGAGAACGACCAAACTTCGAATTCGGCCATGTTCGGCCACAAAAATACAGTTCGGTTTCGGTTCGGCTTCGGCAAAAAAAGCCGAACTTTGACCGAACTTTCTTATGTACTTTTTTTCCTTTTTTTAAATAAAAACTCTGCATCTTTAAAAAGCCATTGCTTGTTTATTACTTGGGCCCCTTAAAATGTTCGGTTTGGTTTCGGTGGGTCAAAGTTCGATTCGGTTCGGCCTTAAATATCGATGATCGGTCGTTTTCTAGTTATAGCTATGGTAAATTTTGTGTACCTCTTAGCATTTCGCCACATAATACAGCAAATAACCACTAAAACGATGAGGGAGAAACAAGCTACCGACATAGTCCAGAATGCAATTTGTAAAGGCTCTTTTGGCTCCCACCAAAACTCCGTTGTAGGCGGATAAGTCGGAACTAGCACTCCGATTACCGTTGGCAGGTATTGTGTCCAAAACGCACATTCAGTTTGTCGATAATTGAGCAATATTGATGAGTTGAAAGTCGTATTGATGTTCAAGTAGCGCAGCTCGCCTTGATACGCACGTTGGAAATGGATGCCCAAAACTTGTTGTGGTGTGGGATTACTGCAGTGATTTTTTCAATTAATTCTTATTATTTAAAAGATATTCTCATTAATGAAACTAACCCGTATCTGGCAAAATTCGAATAGGTTTGCATAAAGAAATGACTCATGTTTCGATCGTTGTCTGTCCACATATTGCGCTGGAGATGTTCCCTTTTAGGAAAGAATTCTATGTCCATGAATGGAGCGCCAGTAAGGAAATAATGTTCTATATTATGTGGATATTTTCGCCATTGTGGATAATTCAATGCTTCCACTGTTGTGTTGAGCACGTATATATAGACTGGTACGCGCTGCTCCAATAGTAATTTAACCATTTTATCAACTGGTGCTCGAAAATACAGATCAGAAAGCATATTTATATATTGCTCACGTATCACCGTACTATTGTTGGGATCCGGCCAATATGTATACATGTATTTGATAGCCTCGTAAACGCCATTCGGATTTAGTGTGTAATTGTACCGGAAGACATGTTCGCGGATTTTTTGATCAAAGAATTTAGCATCAATTTCGTAATATGGTGCTAAAGACTCATTTTGTCCTACAAACAAAGCTGCCTCTTGAGTCGTTACACCTGTCATATACTGCAATCCACGATTGAAATGCCCTTGTCGAATAAGATATTCCGGAGGTTGCGTTAAGAATTTCCAATCTTTTTCACGCCAACCCTCATACCAATCATCGGCAGGCACCGTGAAGTTGTGGTCCAGCACCGGCCCCCAAGGAAACGTACCTACTTGCGGTGGGAATTCTGCATTGCCCAGCTCATAAAAGCTACGTCCAGTCCGAAGACAGTTAACCAGTTTCCATGACGATTCTATGGAGCAGCCAAGCAATTGGCCCAATACGCGACTGGTATTCTGTGCACGATATTTATCTTGAATAAGTGTCCAGTCCGCCAAAGCAGCTCCCGATTGTGCAATAACTCTCTTCACTATGTTTTTAGTTTGCGGTGCAACCATTAGCAGACCGGCAGATCCTGCACCTGCACCTGGGCCAAACAATGTAATCGACTCGCGATCACCATTGAAGAATTCAATGTTGTCATAAATCCACCTTAGAGCCATTACTTGATCTAGTATCCCATAATTGCCTGGTGAGTTCTCATCACCGGTCGATAAGAAACCAAGTGCACCAAGTCTATAATTAATCGTAACTACAACAACATCGTAGAAGGACGCGAGTATATGACCTTGAAAAAGGTTAGAGGCACCACGTATGAACTCTCCACCGTGTATATAGACCATCACAGGATACTTTTGCGCCACGCCAGCACCTGTCTGTCGGAAATGAATTCCAAAGTTAAATAAATTGTGTAAAATACATTCATGGGCGTAGTGCAGGAGGGAGATAGGGGAGGGGGGGGGGGGGGGGGGAGTGAGGCGTGTGCTCGAGGAGCCACATTTCTTCCGATGTATACAAAAATAATACCTCAAAATGCAAAATTAATAATTTTCAAATGTAATTAAATAATAATATCCAGCAAGTATAAATACATACATATGTATGTACGTACATATGTATAGATATTGCGCACATAAATGCCAAAAATTGCTTATTAAATAAATTTTTGCAAATTTATTTATAATTTGTCATTTTTGTACAACCTATGTACACCAAAGTTCTTACACAAATCTTTCTTGATTAAAAATGATACAGGGCAACACTGATTTTGGTACGACAAATGTTAAAGCTGTTTTCAATGGATATTTTTCTGCTGATTACGAATCCGTAATTATAAAGTTTTCATCAGGTCCAGATTTTAAGAAAAACGAGGTCAAAATGTCAAAAAATCGTGTTTTTGCAAAATTTATAAGCTCTAGCAAAGAAAGAGAAGGTGCTAGAATCTTCCGCTTACGCTTAAATTAAAGCTAGGACTCTCGACTACTGTCCCTGTAAATACCATCCCTGCACCTTGACCTGATGGTCAATTACAGCGACTTATTTAACAGCAAAAAGTGTCAACAAATCGCATTTTTTGCCATATTTGAGAAGCTCTAGCAAAGAGAGAAAAGCTGATGGAACCTTCCACTTAGGCTTAAATTAAAGCTAAAATTCTCGATTCTGTCCTTGTAAATACAATCCCTGCACCCTGACCTGATGGTTACTAATAGTCAATTATTGAACAATAAAAAAAATACTGAAAAATTGTGCTATTGAAAAAAAAATGTGCCAAAATCATTTTTTGCTTTAAAATAAATTACCATAAGTGACCTTAGGGTGAAGGTGCAAGGATGGTATTTTTAGGGATTGCAGTCGAAAGTTCAAGCCTTAATTTAAGCCTAAGTGGAAGGTTCTAACGCCTTTTGTGCGGAAGGTACTCAAACTTCGCTAAAACCAGTATTTTCAGGAATAGTAGTCGAGAGTTCTAGCTTTAATTTAAGCCTAAGTAAATGGTTCTATCACCTTTTGTTTCTTTGATAGAGCTCCTAAAATATTACACAAAACGCGATTTTTTAACATTTTGGCCTCGTTTTTCTCAAAATTTGGAGAGATGGTAAGTATTGAGTTACGGGTTCGTAATCAGCACAAAAAAGTCTGTCAAAAACAGCTTTTAAAAATCGACTAATGGTTCTACATCAACTTTGTGTGTTATGCACAATATACCAAAAATTAATGTGTGTGAATGCACAATTAACTTTTAGTTTAGTAGTTTAAGTGTCAAGCCAGAAGCATAAATGTGCAAATTTACCAATTTTGAGTTAATGGGTTGACTTGATTAACCTTTGGATGTTTTATGTTATACCAAAACCCAGATAACCATGCGTACACGGAATCCATATGTTTTACAATGTCAATTACATTAATTTAGAGTTAAGTCTGATAAAAAAACTTTCAAACTTGATTTCGCAACATTTTGATTAAGAGTTAAGTCTGATAAAAAAGCTTTCAAACTTGATTTCCCAACATTTTGACTTTTACACATTCATGTTTCTGGCATAAGGGGAACGATATGTAAAAATGCATATCAAAACAAGAAAAGAAGTATAAGTTTGGGCGAAACCGATTTTAAACCGTTTTGATAATATGCTATATCAGGCTTATTGAAATAATTGGACCACATTCGGTGGAAATCGATATAGCGTTTACCGTATGTATGTAGTGGGTGGAACTACCCCAATTTTCCAAAAATCTTTAAGTTTATTTCTTATTAGGATATTCTTATACCAATTATCTTAGAGTAAATCGGCGTTTTTAGTTATAGAAATATCGGAGTTTTCGTATTTCTGAAATTTACCGGTTTCTGGGAAGTGAACGTAGTTATAGTCCGATTTCAAGAATTTTAAACATATTGGCCCGTAGTTATAGTCGAAAGTTACAACCTCTTCTAGTTAAAATTAATCTTTAACTTTAGAGCAGGCTTTAAGTTTTAGTCAGTTATAGACATGTTAGAGGCAGGTTTTTGCTAGATTGACACAAAACAGGGCCATTAATATAAAATGAAAAAAGTAACCAATCGGCATTAGGAAAACTTTGTTATTTTAGCAAGTTCACCCTGTGTCATCTGACTTTTATAAATAATTTTGAAAATGGCGCAGCAAACTGTAAGTAAATAACAAATTTTTGTAAAATATAATTTATTAACGTAAATAATTTAATTTTTATAGGAAGTGAAAAGAGTTCGTGAAGTTAATTGCTTGCGCTCCTCCTCTTTCATTTGAAAAGGATCTTGGCGTTCCTTGTATGTTTTCCTATTTCTGGTTGCGATTGTATCATCCAAACTCGCAAACTCTCGAAATATCCTTTGATTGGGAAGCATATTCTTCAAATTAAGACCACTTTTGTATTTTCTCCGCAAATTTTGATAGGAAAACGTCTACTTAGATTACGCTTTTAAGATTTTAAAACCTCGTCAACCTCATTTTAAATTTAAAACGCCGTTTTAAAGTTAAAAGGTCTTTTAAGTTGACTATGACAGTGTTAAAAGAGTGTTTATCTTAATATACAGTTTTAAATGTTAAAACCTGCCTCTAACTTGTCTATAACTACGGGCCATTGTTTCTTCTACACCAAGGGTAATAACTAGAGCCTAGATTTTTATGCGCTAAAGAATCGAAACTATGCGCATATAATGTGTACTAAAACAAAAAATATGCAAAAGACTTCTCGCACTTGTTTTGCTTTTTTAATTTTTTTTATTTACTTTTCATATTTTATTATAAGTTAATAATTAATACAAGGATATATTGTAATTTTTAGTGCCCCGAAAAACTCAAAATTAATTAACTTAGAGCGAAAAATTGCTAAGTACATTTTTTATGAAAACTCATATTTTGATACAGGAGGCTAGGGAAATTTAAAATGCATTGTTTCGAAAGGGATTAAGGTACTTGTTTTGCTTATTATGGTTTATATTTAATGCAAGGAAAATTTGTTTAGTCAAAAAGAAGCACCGAAAATCCGATAAGACCAAATTAGTACCAAATCTTTTAATATGGATCGAATCCCTCTGATTCGTATGGAGTTTTGCTTTTCTTTGAACAGGCAAAATGTTGTATTCAAAATTTTGCGAAATACTTGAAGGAAATGGCTATAAGAAGAACTTAGCAACTTTTCACTCTAAGCTAGCGAAATATCTAAAATTTTAAAATATTTATGTATTAAAAAAAGCACTTAAGCACATGATTTGTACATTTGTACGGATTTGTACATTTTGGCAGTCCCATAGTGGTGTTGTTTAGAAATTTGAGTTCAGCTCAATAAAAGAAATTTCAGAAAACACCACTCTGTAACTGCCAAAATGTAGAAATCTGTGCAAATGTATAAGCCGTGTGATCCCTGCTTAACAGCTGTCACTTGCGGCCATTTGGCTATGTTACAATGATGTTACCAATATAATCCTTTATTGAAAAAAGAAGAACTTTTACAGTTGAATTTTGCCTTTTTTTCCTTGGGAAAAACAAGTAAGATGTACAATGAAAGGAAATGTCAAATAACTCGACTCGAAAGTCGAGGTTCGAAGCAAATGAATTCAAGTGAATAGAAAACAAGGTTGCATTAATTTTAAAGTACTTAAGTGACTTAATCATATTGAACATCCTGCCCGGTCGAGGCGTTCGTCCCGAAATCTTCGCTGTCCAAGAGGCGGCACAATTTCTGTACTGCCCGGGTGAGGCATCCACTGCTAGTTTTTATCGACACATTTCGGATGGCCCCATCCCCTCCAGGGTGCACCGCTATCACCCGACCCAGCCGCCATTGAGTTGGAGGTAAATTTTCATGCCTTACCAAGACGACGTCGTTGATCTTAATATCGGGCATGCGCTTCTGCCAATTATTTCGCCTTTGAAGAGTAGAAAAATATTCGTCGCTCCAACGGTGCCAAAACTCTTGGTGGACCTGCCTTAACAATTGCCATTGCTTCAGTCGATTGGTAGGGGCTTGGCGGACATCAGGTTCGGGTACGGCTAAAAGCGGGGAGCCAACCAGAATATCGCCAGGTGTAAGGGCGAGCTTGTCCTCCGGATCGTCATGAAGTGGGGTGATGGGACGCGAATTTAGACACGCCTCAACTCGTGCCGCCAAAGTCTGCATCTGGTTATACCACATCGTTTGAGCACCAACACAGCGAACTAGATGGTGTTTGGCAGACTTGACAGCAGCCTCCCAGAGCCCGCCTTGATGCGGCGCGCGTGGAGTAATAAAATGCCACTGCGTACCCATAGCTGCTAACGATTTTTGATTGTTGTCCGTGTACCAAGCGGCAAGATCTTCTTGTAATATTCGATTAGCACCGATAAAAGCCGTGCCATTGTCACTGTACAAATCGCGACATGGTCCTTGTCGACTAATGAAGCGGGTGAACGCATTAAGGAACGCCTGAGAATAGAGGTCGTCCACCACTTCAAGATGAACAGCCTTTGTTGCCATGCAAATGAAAATGGCGAGGTAGGTTTTAACCATTGTGCGAGAGCGTTTCGTTCCCGTACGCAACACAAATGGACCACAATAGTCGACGCCGGAAGCAGCAAAGGGTCGTGCAGCGCTAACGGAAAGAGGATCGGGAAACGCCGATCGTATGATAAGTCAGCTCTTTGAATGCGTCCACCCACTCGCAACATGTGCTTCTCATCAAGTAAGGGATTCAACGGCATAAGTCGACTGGAATGTGAAATGTGTCTTCCACTCTTCAGCTGCTTGACCTCACTGCTGAAGGCATCCTGTTGGTCAATACGAATCAAAACGTCTAATGCATCGTCGAATTCTCTTGCACCTATAACCCGCTTGCGCAGATGTTGACGTGAGCTAAGCCATCGCAGGATAATTGCCACTGTATGAC